TACATATGAATTATCAAAGCTGAATCAAGAAGAGATAAAAATCTTAGATAACCCAATACTGATAAATGAAATTGAAGATGTAATTAAAACCCTATCGACAAAGAAAAGCCCAGGCCCTGTGAGATTCACTGCTGAATTCTATAAGAAATTTAGAGACCTAACACTACTGCTTCTTAAACTCTTTAATGAAATTGAAAGAAAAGCAATACTTCCAGGTTCATTCCTGGAAGCAAGCATTACCCTGATAGCAAAACCAGAGAAGTCCCAGCTAAAAAATAGAATTACAGGCCAATCTCTCTAATGAGCATTGATGCAAAAATTCTCAATAAGATACTGGCAGACAGACTACAGCAAATCGTCAAGAAGATTGTACATCATGATCAAGTAGAATTCATCCCAAGGATGCAGGAATGGTTCATATATGTAAATCCATAAATGTAATATACCATATTAACAGATCCAAAGACAAAAATCATATGATCATTTCAATAGATGGAGAAAAAGCTTTTGAAAAGCCCAGCACCCATTCATGATAAAAAATTCTTACAGGAAATTGGAATAGATAGTCTTTAACTCAATCTGATAAAAGCCATCTATGACAAACCAACAGCCAACATCGTACTAAGTGGACAAAAACTAAAAACTATCTCTCTAAAATCAGAAACAAAACAAAAGGATGTCCACTGTCTCCACTCTTGTTCAGCATAGCCCTGGAAACTTTAGCTGGAGCAATTAGATGAGAGAAAGAAATAAAAAGAATAAATATAGGAAAGGAAGAAGTTAAACTGTCATTGTTTACAAATTATATGATACTTTACATAGAAGACCTCAAAAACTCCACTAAAAAGCTAGTAGATTTAATAAGCAAATTCAGTAGCACAGCTGCATACAGAGTCAACACTCAAAAATCAATAGTTTTTCTGCACGTAAATAACAAACTCACGGAGAAAGAAATCAGAGAAACAGTACCTTTTACAATGGTATCCAAAAAGAAGAAAAAGAAAAGAAAAGAAAGAAATACCTAGGAAGGAATTTAACAAAGGATATAAAAGACCTCTACATTGAAAATTACAGTACTCTCCAAAAGGAGAGTAAAGAGGATATTAGAAAATAGAGATATTCCATGCTCTTGGGTAGGAAGAAGCAATATAGTGGAAGTGGCCATACTTCCAAAATTGTTTTACAGGTTCAATGGAATCCCAATCAAAATTCCCATAGCATATCTCACAAAATTAGAGAAAACAATCCTAAAATTCATATGGAACCAGAAAAGACCTAGAATAGCAAAGGCAATCCTGGACAACAAAGAAAAGACAGGGGCATCACAATCCCTGACTTGAAATTATACTATATTGCTACTATGATAAAAACATGAAAAAAAATAACCCAGACCCAAAGATCAGTGAAACAGAGTAGAAGACACAGAAATAACTCTAACCACCTATCTCTGACAAAGGTGCCAAACACTTTCACTGGAAGAAAGATAGACTCTTTAATAAATGGTGCCAGAAAAACTGGCTCTACATATGCTGGAGATTAAAACTGGACCCATAGATTTCAACATGCACTAAGCTAAAATTGGAATGGATCAAAGATCTTAATATTAAAACAGAAACAGTGCCCAGTTCAGTGGCATAAGGGCCTGCCTGGCAAGTGCAAGGTCATGAATTTGATCCCCAGTTAAAAACAAAACAAAATAAAAAAAACCCAGAAACATTAAATCTGCTGGAAAATAAAATAGGTAACACTGTTGAAGACATTGGTGTAGGCAAAGACTTTGTGAAGAGAATCCCAATTTCACAGGAACTATCACAAATCAACAACTGGGATCTCACCCTATTGTAAACATCTGCACAGCAAGAGAAACCCCTGAGTGAAGAGATAACTTACAATACAGGAGAAAATGTTTGCCACCTGTACCTCAGACAAAGGATTACTATTGAGAACATATAAAGAACTAAAAAAAAAAAATCAATCCTCCCAAATTTAAAGATCCAGCCCAATAATGGACATCTGGGATAACTATGGGCTTCTCAGATAAAGAAATACAAACAGCAAATAAATATGTAAAAAATGTTCAATATCGCTGGCTATCAGAGAGATGCAAATTAAAACAATACAGAGACTCCATCTCATCACAAAAAGAATGGCTACTATCAAGAAATTAACTGGGACTGGGGATTTAGCTCAGCGGCATAAGCGCCTGCCTTGCAAACAGGCAGTCGTGAGTTTGATCCCTGGTACCGATAAAAACGAAAAAGACAAAAAAAAAAAAAATTAACCAATAACAAATGCTAGTGGGGCTGTAGGAAGAAAGGAATCCTTCTCCACTCTTTGGTGAGAATGTAGATTGGTGCAACCACTGTGGAAAATCAGTATGGAAATTCCTCAAAAAACTAGGATTAGAAGTCCCATTTGACCCAGCTATTCCCCTTCTGGGTATCTTCCCAAAAGAATTAAAAACATCGGGGCTGGGCGCCTGCCTTGCAAGCAGGCAGTCGTGAGTTCGATCCCTGGTACCGATAAAAAGGAAAAAGATAAAAAAAAAAAAAGAATTAAAAACATCATACCACAGTAATATATGTGCACCCATGTTTATAGCAGCACAATTTATAATAGTTAGATCTTGAAAACAACCTAAATGACAATTGACTGAGAAATGGATAATACAGTGGTGTGCTACTCGGCAATAAAGAAGGATAAACTGAAAAAAAAAAAAGGAGGATAAACTGGAGACTTATAGGAAATAGTATATAACTTGAGACCATACCCATAAGTGAAATAAACCAGACACATGCAAAAATATTGTGTTGTATTGCTACGGTAAGACTCTGATACAACATATGCATATGTTTAAGATAGTTATAAGATAGAATAAGATAGTTATACTACTGTTTCTCTGAGTTCACGGAGGAGAAAGATTTGTGCTGATATTGCTCAGACAATTGAATGCAAATGTTTTGTGCTCTGGGTGAATATTTGGGGACAACAACATGCAATGTATGCAGCATTGTTGTCCCCTGATTGACATGTTTTGACTTTTTGTTTTATTTTTTCTTTTTCTTTTTTTTTTTTTTCTGTGTTCTAAAATGGATTTGGGGAAAAAAAAGAAAAAAACTTGAAATAAATATGGAATTGATGAACATATTGATGAATAAAACTAAAATGGGTTTTGGGCTAGAGATGTGGTTAATTAGTAGAATGCTTGCCTAGTGTGCATGAGGCCCTGGGTTCACACAAGAAAGAAGAGACTTTTGGTGAAATTTCATGAAATAAGGTTTAATTTTAGGTAAAATAGATGACTTTAAAAAGAAATTCATGTATGTATATAGATATATGTACTGGGATTGAACCCAGGGCTTTCACACTGAGGTACATTCTCAACTGTTTTTTTTGTTTGTTTGTTTGTTTTTTGTCTTTTTCTATTTTATCAGTACCGGGGATCTAATTCACGACTGCCTGCTTTACAAGGCAGGCGCTTATCCTGAGCTAAATCCCCAGCCCCTATCCTCAACTGTTTTTATTTTTAATTTGAGACAGCATGTCAATAAATTGCTAATTTGTCCAGGTTGGGCTCAGACTTGTGCTCCTACTGCCTCAACCTCCCAGAGTGCTTGAATTATAGGCATGTACCATTGTGGCAAGTTTAGAAAATTAAAATGATTAATAAAAAATAATCCTCAACCAGGTGTGGTAGTGCACACCTGTAATCCCAGCACTCAGGAAGCTAAGACAGGAGGATGGATGTGAGTTTGAGGCCAGTCAGGACTACAAAGTGAATTTGAGGCCAGGCTGACCTACATAGTGAAACCTTGCCTGAAAAAGGCAATAATAATAATAATCCTGAACAGATGAAAAACCACACAAGAAACTGAAAAGGTTTTCAAATACCACTAAAAAGCTTCTAGAGCCAGATGATTTTTACAAATAAGTTCAGTCTACCCTTCAAAGAAACAATAATTCCTGTTATTCAAAGTATGACACAAAAAAAATGAAAAGCTGCATTTTTTTTTTTTCTTGAGACAGACTCTTGCTATATAGCTCAGGCTTGGCTTGAATTCATGAATGTTGCGAGTTTTTCAAAACCATCATGTACTCCTTTCTTTTCTTTCTCTTTTTTTCTTTCTTCTTTCTTTCCTTTTCCTTCTTTTACTCCAAACTGGTCTTGATCTTGAGATCCTTTTCCTCCATCTGCCTTCTGAGTCCTAAGATTTTTTTGGGTGTGGGGGTCTTTTTTGAGACAGGGTCTCACTATGTAGGTCAGACTAGCCTTGAGCTCACATTATAGCCCATGTTGGTCTTGAACTTGCAATAATTCTCCTGCATCAATCACCCAAGTGCTGAGAATACAGGTGTGAGCCACACCACAGCTCTGAGTACTAGGATTATAGATATGTGCCCCACACACAGACACAATTTGAATTATTTTATTTATTAAATTTTTATTCTTTTTGTACCAGGGATCGAATTCACAACCGTGTGCTCGCCAGGCAGGTGCTTAAGTCACTGAGCTAAATCCTAGGCCATTAAATTATTTTTTGAGACAGGTTTTAACTGTATAGTTTAGGGTAGCTTTGAATTTACTGTGTAGCTCAGGTTGATCTGAAATTTACTGCAATCCTCCTGCCTCAGCTGGGATTATAGGCATGAGCCACCACATGTGGCTATAGTTTGAATTTTTTTTTTTAGATTTACAGTTTATTGTAGTAACAAATAATTGTCACAGTGAGATCTACACACATATATAGAATTACATTTAAATTTATATAGAACAATATTTACATGTTTAAGTTATATTTTGAAATTAGAAAGTGAAGTATAGTTTCAGTTGTACAGCAAAGAAGAAAAATGTAGAAAACAGGGGCTGGAGATTTAGCTCAGCGGCATAAGCACCTGCCTTGCAAGCAGGTGGTCATGAGTTCGATCCCCAGTACCGATAAAAATGAAAAAAAAAATAGATGAAAAAAAAAAAGTAGAAAACAACAAAAAAAATCAACAGTAAAAATATAACTATTCATCTTGGATTATAATGTGTGGAAACTTTTTGTCAGAACCCTACATCTTCTTAATCTGATTGTCCAAATCATTAAAATATGGATGATTCAGTGCCATTTTGCCAGAAATTCGTTTAGCAGGATCATAGGCTAACATTTTCGAGAGTAAATCCAAGCCATTTTCATCCAAGTTTTTGACATGGGATGCTAGGCTTCCTGGTTTCCACTTGGGAAATGTATTCTTATAGTCCTGTAAAGATTCCACTTCTGGCCATACTTCATTGTTGGGAGTGCCTAAAGCTCTGAAAATCCTGAACAGTTGATCAATTTCTGAATCCCCATGGAAAAGTGGTTTCTTAGTTGCCAATTCTGCAAAGATTGTGCCTATACTCCAAATGTCTACTGGAGTAGAGTACTGAGCTGACCCCATCAATACTTCTGGAGATCTATACCAGAGTGTTACTACCTCATGTGTATATACTCTAATAGGTATCCCAAAAGCTCTAGCAAGGCCAAAGTCAGCCAGTTTAACTGTTCCTTTGTCATCAATCAACAGATTTTGAGGTTTTAAGTCTCTGTGAAGAACTCTTCTAGAGTGACAAAATACAATACCCTGAAGGATCTGGTACAAATAACTCTTAACAAGTGGTGAATCCATGAACTACCCAGCAGGAATAGAATCCAAGTATTTCTTGAGATCCACTGAAAGGAATTCAAAAATGAGATATAACCTGGAATCTTGCATAATCACATCTTGAAGACTGACTATATTTGGATGACGAAGTTCTTTTAATGTAGAAATTTCCCGAATTGCAGTACTAGGAACCCCTTCCTCTTCACTTTCTAGTCTGATTTTCTTCATGGCTACTACTTGACCTGTAGTTTTGTGTCTACCCTTATATACAACTCCGTAAGTACCTTCTCCAATTTTCTCTATTTTAGTGTAGTCTTCCATGCTTATTCAACAGATATGATAGATGCTCAAGCTATCTCGATTGTGTCTCTCCTCAGAGAACCTGCCAGTGCCAGCCTTTGTAGTTAAGTGCCTATAGTTTGAATTTTTAAAATATCAAAATATCATCTCTGGGCCAGGGATGTAGCTCAGCAGCACAAGTGCTTGCCTTGCAAGTCCCAGGTCATGAGTTTGAGTCCCAGTACAAAAAAAAAAAATATATACACACACACACACACACACACACACACACACACACACATGACCTGTGAGTACACATGCAAAAGGTAAAATAAAATAGCAAATCAAATACAGCAGGGGATGAAAGAACAATACTTCAAGTTAAATTTCTTTCAAAATAGAACTATTTAGCCGGGCATGGTGGTTCATGCCTGTAATCCCAGCACTGGGGAGGCTGAGGTGGGAGGATCCTCTCGAGTTCAAGACCAGCCTGGGCTACAAAGTGAGTTCAATGCCAGCCTGAACTGCATAGCGAGACCCCGTCTCAAAAAAGACAAAAAACAAACAAACAAACAAAAAAACAAAATAGAACTGTTCTACCTTAGGAAATCTAAGCCAGGCTGTACATGGTAGCATAGTGCTGTAATCTTAGGTATTCAGGGGACTAAAACAGGAGGTTCTAGAGTTATAGGCCGGCCTGAATTGCATAGTGAGATACTGCTGAAGGAGGGCGGGGGGAGAGGTGAGAGAAGGGGACAGAGAGGAAGGCCTTGCCTCAATATTTAAAGAGATCAGAAAGAGCTGCATAGATCATTGCGAAGGCCCTTGATTCATCCCCCAGTATCACATACACACAGTACAGACACAGACGCACACACACAGAATTAAAAACATGTATTAATACTTTTGGGAATTGAATTCACAACCTCACACCTGATAGGCAGGCAAGTGCTGCGTTGTTAAACTATATCCCAGGCCCAATACTTATGAATGTTCACAGGAATAGTATTCACAATAGCCAAAAGATGAAAAGTACTCAGCTGGTTATGGACAGATAAGTGGATAATGGTGGTCTATGTACCCACTGGAATATTACCAGTCTATAAAAAGGAATGAAGCTGGGTGTGGTAGTGCATGTCTATATTCCCAGCATTTGGGAAGCCGAGGCGGGAGAATCACTTTGAGTTCAAGGCCAGCCTGGGCTATGAAATGAATTCAAGGACAGCTAATTACATAGTGAAAATTTCACTAATTACATAGTGAAACCCTGTCTCAAAAACATGAAAAAAGTGCTTGGCAAATGCAAGGATCTGAGTTCGATTTCCAGTACTAAAAAAAATAAAATGAAAAAAGGAATGAAATATTGATACATGATATGTGGGCAACCTTGAAAATATCATACTAAGAAGCACAACACAAAAAATAGTTATATTTTTAAATTTTTTTAGACTATCCAAAATCATACAGTAAATTAGTCTTTGCCAGCATCCAGTAATTGTTAATGGTTGCATCTTTTTAGGGGGGATGTGTCAGGAAAATTATCTGGAATTAAACCACCACAATGATTCCATACACTTGTGAATACACTAAAAACCTTGAATTGTATACTTAAAATACACTCTTTAAAAGGATAATGATTTCTCGGCACCACAAAAATAAATAAGGCAAAGATTATAGTATATGATTTGTATCTCCTTAAAAAAAAAAGTGTGGGCTGGGGATTTAGCTCAGCGGCATAAGCGCCTGCCTTGCAAGCAGGCAGTCGTGAGTTTGATCCCTGGTACCGATAAAAAGGAAAAAAGACAAAAAAAAAAAAAAAAGTGTAATTTCAGCAGAATCCCAACAACATTGTGTTTGTAGAGAAGAGTCAAAGGGAAAACAATCTATAACCCAAATATTATTTGAAAAACTATGCCTCTCAGGGTGTGGCAGACTGTGGCCCTTCCAGGGGGAGAACCACCAGTGTCTTCTGAGATCCACGCCATGTTGAAACTTACGAAGCTGGGAAACCAAGCAACCAGCCTGCCTCCCTGTTAAGCAATAGTGAACCTATTCGTGCATGGCCTAGAGTCAAACATCCCACTTCCCCTACCCACTTTCTCTTGTCCTGTCCATGTGTCCCCCACCCCCCGCTTAGCAAATGGGAACCAGAAATCTGAGCATCTCCTGGGAGGTTGACCATAAGCAAATAAGGTGGATTTCCTTCTACCATCTCTTTGAAGACAAATATTTTTATTACTGTTTTGCTCTATTCTGATTAATGGTACTACTCTATTCAATATTCTGTTTTGATAAGTTCTATAATATTCTGTATTTCACTTTATTTTGATATACATGATTGAAAGAACAACTATTGTAAAGATAACGAAATATACCTATTAGTGTTATCTCAGTAACCTGCTGTGAAGTTCTGTACCAATTTCACTGTACGATCTTAGTTGGCTTTATTCTGTCTTATTCTGTTGTATTTTACTACTTTCAAAATAAAATAAAATGCCTCTCAGAACAGGCAAGGGAAAACTGAAGAAATCTAACAGCTATTAAAATATGGGTAGCTGTTGTAATAAAAACAAAGGAATGAATAGACCAATTCAATAGAATTCAGAAATACAATGTGCGAGTATGTCCTTCAATACAGCATGTGGATTATTGCTGATGTTAACTTCAGTTATATAGTTAGGGCCATATATGTGATATTTCTCAAGTGTGGCTAAATTGCCCCGATGGGCTAGAATCTTTAAATTTTCTGCCTCAGTTTCCCAGATTACTTTGGGGTACAAGACCGGTTTAAATTTTATCTTATTTTATTTTAGCCTTTTTGAAACAGGTTTTCACTATGCAGTTCAGGCTGGCCCTGAAGTCGCTTCATAGCCCAGGCTGGCCTCGAACTTGCAGTGATCCTCCTGCGTTGGGCCTCCCGAATCCTGGGACTACGCCCAACGAAATCAGAATTCTACAATTTCCCTTTGGAACGAAACAGTTCCCTTCCTAAATAAGTAACTGAAATGTAAATTATAGAAATACCATAAGAAGACTTCGTCTTCAGCCTGAAGCTGGGACACCACCCAAATAAACATAAATTTGGGGAGAGACCTGTTTATTCCGATTCATGCGCATTGTCTTCCAGGCTTCCTATTTGCCCACAACAAAGATGAATTCTTCTGGTTCTTCAGTCCACTTCTAAATTGGACGCAGCAGCCATTTTTCCTTAGGGCAAAACTCAAACCGGAAAGTCACTTTCTACACCCGCCTTCTAAACGCCAAACGCGTTCGAATCACCAAGTGTCCAATTGGAATCGGCTTTCTCGCCGGAACCTCGCTGCTTCGAGACCGGAAGAGACTGTGCGTCCGGGAGTTGGGGCGGAAGTGACGGGAAGGTGGTAGTGGAGTAGTTGGCGGGTGGTTGAGTGGAGCCGGTCGCCATGTCCGCGGGGAGCGCGACACATCCTGGAGCTGGCGGGTAAAGGTTCTCGGTGGTGGGCTTCGTAGCCAGGTTGAAGGCGAGGAGAGGCGGAGAGACTGGGGGCAGTTGCGTGTGGGTGGTGGAGCGCTTGATAGAAGGCCTACCTACCGGAAGACCGCACTTTGTGGAGACACTCTGAGCAGGCCTCAGGCCCCAGAAACGGCCCGCCGGGGATCTGAGGGAAGGAACCGGGGAGTTTACAAGGGCGAGACAAGGAGAAGCCTAAGACTAGGGCATGCGACTTTGAGTAGAGTCTCTGGGTATCGATGACGGAGAGAGAAAGTGGATGTAGGGAGGGGTTTGAGGAAAGGCATTTGGAGAAATGTAATGTTAAGGAGAGCTGGACATTTTATATTTCGGAGCAGATGGGTGTGGAACACGACCCTGGTAAAAAGGAATGCTAAGGCGCAGTGTGGACAACGTTACATAAATGAAGCTTTTCGGTCTAATATTTTCCTTTTCCTACCTGTAGGCGCCGCAGCAAATGGGACCAGCCGGCTCCCGCCCCTCTTCTCTTTCTCCCGCCAGCGGCCTCCGGTACAGAGGTCACCAGCAGTGGAGGAAGCCCAGGGGCCGCCCCGGCTCCTCCCTCGGGAGCTCTGGATGCTGCCGCTGCCGTGGCTGCCAAAATCAATGCCATGCTTATGGCTAAAGGGAAGCTGAAACCAACCCAGAATGCTGCTGAGAAGGTAATTCGACGAGTCTGAGCTAATTGCAGTTTCAGTAGGACTTTTAAAATCCTGTAATCTTAAAATCTTTTGGGTTAATGAAGGAGAAAAGGGGTGCAGTAATTTAAAGATCATTTAGTTTTGGAACATTTAGGTAGTATTTTGTCATAAATTTTTACAAAGTATTTTTATTGGACTCATTACATTTTATGAACCAAATAGCTTGTTTTTTGTCCATGTTCGCTAACTTGAATTTCAGCTCTATCCACTGTCATCATTTAAAGCATGTTAATGTCTATGGATACACGTGCTTTTTTCCCTGAAATAGAAAAGACTGGCATGGTGATGCAGTCATGTAATCCCTCGCTCTAGGAAGCTGAGGTAGGACTGGAAGTTTGAGCCCAACCTGGAGAATTAGACTTTATCTTTAAAAAAGGACAGCTCAGAATGGAGTTCAGAGCAAAGTTCCTAGGTTCAGTTTCCGGAAATGGAAAAACAATAAAAAAGAAAGAAAAAAAATTAAGGTAACGCGTGAGCTTTAAACTGTCACCTCTAATTAGACTGTATCGATGCTTAATGACTGAATACAATTAAACATGACTAACATGGAGGTACAATTTATATTTGACTGATTTGGTTGCTTTCATACAAATAGTGAGGGAAGTTAAATAGAAGTTAATAAAAACTGTTGATATAACTAGAATCTCACAGTTAAAGGGGACCTGACTGAAGCCTTTGCCATGAAGTGCAAGAGTTTTATTATAAGATAATGATAGTGGCTATTTACATTGTATGCTTTGTAAATTAAAAAAATTCTTTGCAGCAAGAGTAAGAACACTTTGACATGAGGAAAATTTGGCTAATGAATGTAAAATAATTTGTCCAAGCCACAAATAGTTCAGATGACTTCAAAGTTACCTCATACAAATGAATGTTGAGCTTTTGGCTGAAAACCTCCAGAGTTACATTCCAGTGTAGTCAGGTACACTAATTTTTTGCGGGGAGGA